ACCACATTGTTAAGTCTGTGTTTTGGCGTTTTGTCTTTCGGGTGAACCAGTTTCTGTCTGAGTGTGTTGCTGGGTCTGAAATACACTGGGATGTCATGCTTGGAGAAAACTCTCCTGAGTTTCTCTGATACACCGGCTACATAGGGGATGACAATGTTGTTGCGTCTGTCCTTCTCATCAACTTAAAGAAGTCCAGACGCTTTTCTTTGTAAGCTCCTTTGACTACGATGACCTGGATGACTGAGAACCTTCACAGACATACTCATTTAATGGTTTTTCTACTATTTCCATTGTAGGTTCTCACTGAAGCCATCAAAACTCTGAATAAACACAACATAAAATTATGTATTAAACAAAAAAGTGTGAAATAACTCAGATTCTTCCAAACAGCCCCTTTGCTTTGATTCCTGCTTTGCTCTCTCGGCGTCTCCATGAGCTTCATGAGGTCGTCTCCTGAAATGGTTTCCAACAGTCTTGAAGGAGTTCAGAGATGCTGAGCACTTGTTGGTCCTTTGCCTTCCCTTTGCGCTGCATCTCATCCCAAACCATCTCCGCTGGGTTTAGGTCAGGTGACTGTGGAGGCAGCAGGATTCCTGAGAGTATTGAGATGAATGTATCCTTAGCAGCAGAGGTGACTCCTGGTCTTCTTTTCCTGGGCTGGTGCTCATAGAGCAGGGCGATATGCCCAAAAATATTTATCACGATATGCATTTGAAAATTTGCAATAACGATATAACTGACGATATAATTGACACTAGACAAAATACTTTACAACTCCACAACTTTGATGGTTTTTTTTGCACTAATAATGTATTTTCACTTAAACAAGCTGCTGTTTTTTTATGTGTTATATAAAAGTTATATAAAAATGTAACAGAGAAAATTCCTCACTGACAGCTTAACCAAAAACCATTTCCAGTGGAAACTGGCCGACATATCCTCGGCATAAACATGTATAACATCCACAGAACTTAAAAAGAGGTTATACACACACAACACGGTAACATTATGTTGAAGCACAGTACGTATCACTCCGCGAGGCTCCGCCTACGATAGCCGTAACGCTCCGACAATCCAACAAGCGGTGCGGCTTCGTAGCTTAGCAAAGTCGTACTGAAGCATCTGACATATTTTCGAGCGCCGTGCACATAAAATCATTTCGAGGTCAGTAAACACAACCAGAGTTCATACATAAGGCACACGGGGTTATAAGGGGCTCTGTCGACTTTCAGAAAATCAAAGGATGATTTTAAGTGCGCCGTATTTTCCAAACAACACGGTAATAACGACGGCCCGCTAGCATGCGCTACCAAAAATAGTGCTTTGTTGTTTATCTGATGGACGAAAGCTAAACCAGTTCCACACCAGTGAAGTTGCAGCATTTTTACAAACCAGTTCTGGTTCATGGTTTCATTCAACGATCCACTTTCGCTCTTCTCATTCTGCGTCGCCGCCATGTGCGTATGTAAACAAAGGCACAGTGCGTTTTACCCATATTCTATCGCGATATTTCATTTTCCTATCGTTGCCCAACATTACACCGGTATTACCGTGAACAGTATGATATAGCCCAGCCCTAGGTCGTCATGTGAGACAGTTTCATCATCAACTATCAGTACTTGATAGTTTTTGTGACTGCACTTGGAGACACTTTCAAAGTTTTAGCAATGATCTGGACTGACTGACCTTCAGTTCATAAAGTAATGATGGACTGTTGTTTCTCTTTACTGAGATGATTGCTTCTTTCCATAATATGAATTCTGACAGTTGTCTTCAAAGGCTGATTCGGTTCATCTGGACGTTTTCAGTGGGAGAAACGTTTCGTCATCATCCAGGTGACTTCTTCAGTTCAGCTGACTGCAGGTTGACTGCAGCTGACCTGCCAGCCCATTGTTCCTTCAGTGGGCTGCTTTAGTCATTATATGTCCTGTTTATAAGACTGGAAACCTGCAGTCAGCTGAGACTGAAGAAGTCACCTGGATGATGACTAAACGTTTCTCCCACTGAAAACGTCCAGATGAACTGAATCCGCCTTTGGAGATTTATTTACCTGGATTGTTGAGCATCAAGAGGTTTAACCGTTGTCAAACAGAGCTGTCAGCTGTGCACCAACCTGACGTCTGAACAACACAACTGATGGTCCCAACCCCATCAAGAAGGCAACAAATTCCCCCAATGAACCCTGACAGGCTCACCTGTGAGGTGAAACCATGTCACGTGACTACATCATGAAGCTCAGTGAGAGCAGGCCGAGGGTTTGTAGAGCTGTCAACAAAGCAAAGGATGGCTACTCTAAAATATAAATTATTATATAAATATTTTTTTCTTTGTTACATAATTCCATATATGCTGCTTCATATATTTGATGTCTTCAGTTTGTATCTACAATGTAGAAAGAAGTAAAAATAAAGACAAACCATTAAATGAGAAGGTGTGTCCACACTTTCACTGGTAGCGTATACAAAGACAACACTTAGTCTGAGTCACTGCAAGTACACAAGTGCATGGAAGACTGTGCAAAGGAACCGAGTGACATGAACACATCATCATCACATCCAAACAGAAAAGCTTCACGCAAGTCGAGTTGCTCGAGATTCACAGAATTTACAGAAAATGTTACATTTTTGTGATTTATATCATTGTCAGGATGATAAATGTCTTATATCAGGATATGAGTGTCATGATATATCCTGATGTACTTCTGAAGATTATTGTCCAAAGTCAGTGAACATGTCTTCTGTGTTGTGTTTGCTGTCTGAATGGATCCTATGAGCCACTCATCTAATGCTGTCCTAATTGTTTCCTTGTCAGTTTATAAGGAGTCTTTTTGTTTTTCCTCCAGGTCCTGCTGGGGCTCCTGACAGGCTCAGAGAAGCAGTTTGCTTTGCGAAGCAGCAGTTTGAACTCCCAGGATCCTTACAACATACTGCCGCTAGCCAGCAGCCAGATCAGGTCAGAATTTAGTTACTAATAGTTACTAAATGAAAAAGAAAGTAATGGGTAAGTAAAATCTGATGGTATAGTTTCACTTTCATCTCTTTAATGATCAATAAGATGGGATCGTCACGTGACATAGGCGTGAGAATAAACATGGCCGAAGGCTCTGTAAGCTGTGTCAAGCAGAGGCCAGGGCAGCCTGATCCTCAGCTATCGAAGCTCTCTGGTGAGGAAAGACCCTGAGCCAGTGCGTGAGGTTGAGCGATACCAGTTAGACTTCCTTGTGCTCACCCTAATGCACAGCTTGGACTCTGCAACCAGTCTCCTGCAGAGGAGCTGGAATCTGTTCCAGTTTGAATTGCCAGGAGGGTATTCCTGTATCCGCCGGTTTGCTGCCTGTACATTTGGGTTTTTACCTGTGGACAGGAAGGCTGCTTCCCTGCCTCCAGGTTGGGGAGTGGGTCTTAACCGTTGTTTGTGTTTGTGCGGTTAATAATTCAGTTCAGAACACTTAGCCTTCTTGAATGCACTGGATGGAGTGCTGGAGGGTACTACGTCTGGCGTCTCCATCGTCCCACTACAAGACCTCAGTGCACATGTGGGCAATGACAGTCAGGGGTGTGACTGGGAGGAGTGGCCGGCCTGATCTGAAGCCAAGTGGTCATCAATTGTTCCACACTGAACACCATGTTCAAGAATAAAGATGTCCGTCAGCACATGTGGCAGCAACGCACCCTAGGCTACAGTTCGGTGATCAGTTTTGTAGTTGTGTCATCATGTCTGTGGCTGTGAACATATGTTCTGGTGAAAAAAGGAGTTGATCCGTCAGCTTCTCACCAGCTGGTGGTGGACAGGCCTGGCACACCTGAAAGTATAGTGAGGATGCACTGGGAGCACCTGGCAGAGGCCCTGGTCCACAAAACCTTCAACTCCTGTGTGCAGAAGTACTTTGGCAGCTTTCCGAGGGAGGCTGGGGACACTGAATCTGAGTGGACTATGTTCTGATGAAGCTGCTGGACAGTGCTGAGGCTGCAACATCATCGGTGACTGTTGTGCTGGTAATCCCTGCGAGGGGAGCCAAAAAGAATGATTCCTATCAGGCTTGGTTAGCCTAGAGTTGGGTGGCAGCTGAGGGGTGCTAACAGGCCGAGCAGAACACAGCCTGAGTAGTAACTGAAGCAAAGACTCACTGGTAGGAGTTCAGTGAGTCCTTGGAAACAAAAATCAGTCTGCCTCAGAGTGATTCTGGGAAAGCTTCAGCTGACTCAGGGAAGCAGTGTTGACTCATACATGTAGTGAGTGTGGCCTTCGCTGCTGAATTTACCTAAGGGTATAGTTGGGGGATGGAAGGAATATTTTGAGGACCTCCTTAATCCCATGGTATCTGGCCAGGAGCAGGTCAGTCTCTGTACAGCCGTTGGGAGTGTTTGGTGCAGTATGTGACTGATACTGTTGATAACCGTTATGGACAGAAGTTAGGTGTGGTGCACAGGGGAGGCCTCAGAAGCTTATCTCTAATGTCTGTGGGTCTGTTGGCTTGGCAGGTGGTGCTGACATTCAGATAGTGGGCTGCAGAGAGCCAGCAACACCACCAGGATGATGAACACAGAGAGGAAAAGAAACAGATGTTGACAAAAGCAGTTTTTCAACTGGTCTGCTTGTTTTACACAATTATGACTTCAGCGGTTCAACTGTTAGTTTAGATTTCCTTGTTTTCCCCAATAGCAGAAAAATGTGGTGCTGGTGACCAACGTACCACTGCACTGTTCAACTGGCCAAACTGGGAATACTCTGTTTGTGTGTCTGACAGGTTCGGGCTGCTGCCTCTCAGCGTGTCAAATGTGCAGAAATCCAAGGCAGCTTCCAGAAGCTCTGAAGCTCCTCAGCAGCTGGTGGTGAGTTCAGAGTTCTTGTTTGGGACATTTCCCCTCTGTGATGTTATTTACTGGCAGCCACACGATGACTTTACGTCTCTGTTTTACTGTGCTTATCTAAATGTCCTGTGTCACGCCCTTTGCCTTCCCAGCATTTCTAAGTTCAAGCAAACCAGTGTCAGACCAGTGTGTTCATCACTGTGTGTTTGGATTCTGCTGGTGAACAGCCACATTACAACAGAATACTGCCACCAACAACCTAAAGTAAAGTTAAAGTACAAGCGCTACATGTGAAATAACAGCCAGTTTGTTAAATAGAGTAAAACATCACCCAAAACATTTTTACCACTGAGCTGTGAAAGAGTGAAAGGGTGATGTCATCACTGCGCCCGCTGTGGACAGCCTGCGCACCCAAGTTTGTCAAAGCTGAGAGTGAGATGACTCAGGATTTTCATACTGTAGCTGTAATTATTGAAAGTCTTGGACAAATTAGAATTTCAGCAACTTACTGAAATTCTCACTTACTCATCAGGGGTCCTTTGTCCCTCTGTGGGGGGAAACTCCCACAGGGTTTAAATCTGGGACTCTCCACCATTTGACCTTAGAACTGAAGAAGCTTCTCTGATGAGAGGTGAAACGTCTTCAAGCAACTCAAAGAAGTCCAGACACTTTTCTTTCCAAGCTCCTTAGACTACCATGACCTGGATGACTGAGAACCTTCACAGACATTTCATATGACTGTATTATCTTTAACATTTCCAGTGTTGGAATCATTCATGGCCAGAAATAATTCCAGGTCTGGACTCTCTTCCATTCTCCTCATTCATAAAGTTGCTTCGTGGTAAAACGTTAGGAGCTTTCAGATGGCAGCCCTTCTCTGACTCTGCTGAAGGTCTGAGCAGAGTCGGGCTCCTGTTTCAGAGCAGCTCTTTTGCCAGGTGCTTGTCTTCAGATGTCCCGTGACCTGTTTCTCCTTCCTCCTCCAGGCTCCTCAGTCCTTCACAGCAGGCAGTGATGACAGCTTCCGGCCAGGCAGCCTTTTCAGGCAGCTCGCTGATCAGGATGAAGACACAGCAGCGACTTCTTTATTTAAGCTTAACTGGCTCTCTGGGATGGGCAAATAATTCTCAGCTGGCTGCTTTGTTACAGTGACATGTACAGTAAACACTCCTTTTGTGTGTTGACAAAATGCCTCCTGTGTGATGTGTAAATGTTGTGTAAGCACTGACGTGTGTTGGCTGACTGGTGATCAGAGCAGCGATACTCTGGTTGAATGTGTGCATACACAAGCAGCATCGTTCAGGCACTCTGTTCCTGAAAGGAAACTGTGTGTGACAGGGTGGATGCTTCCTCTGTAGTGCTTTTCTACTCTTCACACTTTCTTTATGCTCCTTCTACCAAAGTGCTTTTCACATTCACACACACTCATACTCTGATGGATGCATCGGAGAGCAGCTTAGGCTGTGGCTGGTTGGTGGGGTAGGCTGTCTTTTTCACTCTGGACTGAAACATGTTTAACACACTGTGGTTTGTGACATACAGACTGATGCAGTCAGCTTCTATCACAGGATGTCTCCACAGCTACTTTTGTATGAGTATGTGAACATGCTGACACGAAGCATTATCCCTGCAAACACTCCAGCGATCAGCTGACACATTCTGTACTGGGTTCTACATTTTCTCTGGGTGTTAATATGTCAGGTTGTATTTTATGTATGTATTCAGTTCAGATAGAGATGTATGGCTGCCATGATGGCAGAAAGCAGGTTGACTTTATCATTATTGCCTCAGAGTAATCACCAGTGTGAAACACATTCTGGTGTTTGTGCAGCACTGTGGTGATTAGTGCTGTCACCTCACATCAAACAGGTTGTGGGTTTGAATCCGTGCCTGCATGGACTCTGAACGTGTGTTAATCATGAGTTCTTATTGGTTGTTGGGTAAGTATTGTAATGCTAAATGTGTCTTGTGGTTAAATGTTGCTTGTGTCTCTCACCAAAATAAACTCAGCCAAACCTTCTGACGGTGACGTTGTTGATTGGCGAGTTTCTAGTTTGCAAAGCTGCTGGATGACGTTGGGACCACACTGTAAGAGTAGCACATGAAGCAAAACCCTCAGACAGGTCCGTGTCGCAGGAACAGCGTGGTGCAGATACTTGGTGTCAAAGAAAGTGTCACCAACACCGGCCCCCACCGTTCAGTTAATAGTTTTTCCATCGATCCTTTTCACAGTTATAAGATGGATCTGTGCTGCTCACCTTTGGCTGGATAACAAGGAGGGTATTCTGCAGGGTATTCACAGCACCTCACTCATAAGATAAGTTAACCTTTATTAGTCCCACACGTGGGAAATTTGTTTTGTCACAGCAGGAAGTGGACAGTGCAAAAGTTATGAGGCAAAAATTAGGATACAATAAGAATAAATACAGTACACAACTGTACAGGATAGAATAAATAAAATACTACAACCTCATGTTTACAACCTTATTTCAAATACATTAACTCCACATTGTACACTCAGTACCTCGTAATGATGACATGAAAAAAGTTGTTGCATGAAATAAAAAGAACAGTGAGTAGTGTTTGAGTATTCATAGCCTTTACCATGACACGAGCTCGGGCGTGTCGGTCAGGGCTGGTGCCAGGGGAGTGCTAGCTGCCACAGATGATACCTGTCTGATTGTTCGGCCCCTGTTTCAGTGGTGTGCTGGGACGTTACACACCTGTCTAAGATCTCATAGACAGTGCATGTCAGAGCACAAACCACTCCAGGGAGTATAAGGATCTGTCTCCAGGCCGAAGAGGAAGGATTGTTTCGAAGGACATATCTGGGGAAGGGTCCAGAAAATGTTCTTGAAGGTCTCATGACCACAGTGTCCACTATCATTCCTAAATGGGAGAACCAGGACTCTTCCCAGAGCTGAACCAATCTGGACAACTGAAGGTCCTTAGTTAGTGAGCAGACCCAACTGAAGCTAGAAGGCAGCCAAAGTCTGGTCTGAAGAAGCTAATGTTGAAACTTTGTGGCCTGAAAGCCAAAGTTCACGTCTGCAGTAAACGGGCAAAACTCAGCACCTGACCAGTACCGTCACTGCAGTGAAGTGTGGTGGGGCAGTATCAGCTGTGGGGGTGTTTGACAGAAGGAACTGGGAGACTAGTCAGGTTTAAGGGAAAGATGAATGCAGGACCTGCTCCAGAGGGCTCTGCTCAGACAAAGGTTCATGTTGGCGTGTGAGTTCACCTTTATTCACAACAGGGATGCTGCGACCGCCCTTCTCACTGTGATAGACCTCAGCGACCAGGCAGATGCACTGCTTCCAAAGGTTACAAGAGGGGATGCAAAACCCAAGGTGATGGAGGTGGGGGTGGGGGTGACCTTTTACTAGTTCTGAAAAGCTAAAACTAGTGCAGCAAGTACACTCTGGACACCAGGGAGGGCGGTGCTTGGCAAAAGTAGTTCATCCTGGCTTCTAACATGAGTTAGTTTCAGCATAACTGCTTCAGCGTGCCCCGGTGGTGTCGACAGCTTCTAACTTCTTCCGGTCCTCCTGTTATTCACTACATACCTGTTGTTTACTGTCACACTGTGGGTTCTGCTAACCAGGGATTCAATCACCTTTATTTATTTATTTAGTACATTTGGACCTTTGGTTTAAAAAGCTGAAAGTGTTGATTGATATGAAGTGTTTCTCAGGTTAGCGACTTATCATGAAAATACTTGTTGACTACAGCTGTGCACTTCTTAAGCATAAACAGAGCTGACACATATAGAGCCTTTTCTTACCTAAAACTCAAACATTAATACACGTTTAGCGCACATCACTTCTTTGTACTCACTCGCTCACACTCATCCACCCACAGATGGCTCAGGATTATCACTGCAGCATACAGAGCACTGGAAGGTCGGTCTCCACAATTCTCATCCAAACTATTTGTATCTCACGTAAAACTGAAGACTGAGATGGACAGAGTCTTTCCGTCTTTGGCTCCAAGGCTTTAAAACAGTTCACACTTAAGCTCTGTGGAGTCTTTAAAAACAGTTAAAAACCTTTTAAGAAAAAATCAGCAGATTAAACCATTCTCCTTTTGTTTGAACATGGTTCTCTTTGGTATTTATTGTGCTTTAATTGTTGTAAATAATCTTATTTATAAACGCACCCAGTGTTACAACCTACTGTAGCATCTGAGCCACAGATACCTACGTTGCTGAGAGACGACGAGGTTTAAGCTGCTGTAGCAGACACCATTAATAAATGATCACAAGCGTGTTTTTGCACAGCTCTGTTAAAATAAACTCTTTTTGATTTGAATACAAACACTAACATGTGTTTGCCTGCTGGTGGTGGTCAGAGGGCCCGGTGGCGCCAGTGTCCGGCAGCCTCGCCTCTGTCAGTGCGCAGCTGTGGCTACAATGTAGCTGCCATCACGAATGTGTGAATGACTGAATGTAGTGTAAAGTGCTTTGGGACTGAGTAAAGCGCTACACAAATGCAGGCCATTTACCATATATCAGTAGGGGCTGTTTAAAAGAAACATCAGTGAAAGTTAAAAAAAATCAGCCGTGACATTCAAAGTCTTCTACATATTGAGCTTATTTATTAGAATTCATTTAATTGTATTTTTGGGACATGGTCCACACTTGGATGCTACACAGATACTCTTTCATTGACATGCACTGAAATACTATTTTGCACGACTGTGACACATTTAATCTAATAAGACCAAAACAAAACCCTGCAATGACAGCAGTGCATATGTGCAACTGCAGTTCTACAGGGTGGGCCATTTATATGGATACACCGTAATAACATGGAAATGGTTGGTGATATTAAAGTCCTGTTTGTGGCACATTAGTATATGTGAGGGGCAAACTCCTCAAGATGGGTGGTGACCATTTAGAAGTCGGCCATCTTGGGTACAACTTTTGTTTTTTCAATAGGAAGAGGGCCATGTGACACATCAAACTTATTGGTAATGTCACAAGAAAAACAATGGTGTGCTTGGTTTCAACGTAACTTTACAGTAGCTTTTCAACAACAACTTCCTATTGAAAAAATTTTAAAATAACTCACAGTTACTAAAACAGGAGACCATTAATAAGTAAAGTGAGACCTTTCATGTATCCAGCTACAAAGAGGACTGCTTTGAACGAAACCGCGTGCATACAAACACACCTGCACTATACTTTTCTACTTCTTCCTGTCGATCTTGCTCATCATGGCTTTGACATCCACTGGAGCGGAGGCAGCGGCAGCCTTGGCTTTTTCCTCCTCTTCTTGCTGCCAGAGGATGATGGGGTGGATGCCCGGGCTCCGGTTCAGAGCATTCTGCTCCAGGTTGGCAGGACTTGGATGGAAATACAAACATTAATGACAAAAAAGCCTCTTTCACCAGAGTAAAGTTGTGAAACACACATTGCTTATCGATTGTAGAATGTTATGCTCTTTACTTGTCCTGTCCCTGGTTTGGGTTCAAATGATTAGACGGTAAACCTGTTTGACCACTATACGCACAGGAGGAGCAACTGGTGACACACAACGCAGAAAATAATATTTGAATGTGATGCCAATCCAAATGGTGTGAAGGGAGGGCTTTTAAAAACACATCAGATCTCAGTGGGTCTGTGGACCAGACTTAAACATGTAAACATCCCTCATGCTGTCTCATCTTAAATGTTCTTATCTTCAATTTGAAAATGGCGCTATCATTACAGGAGCTTCTATCCTATGAATGCTGGAGAAGTTTTATTTACTTTGTTTTCCCATTGCAGTGACGCAGTGCTCCTCCTCTGTCTGTCTTCTTTTTCTTTTAGTCTTCGTCTTTTTCATATAAACTTAAATTCCAAGCATTTTTTACTTGAGCCACAGTGACGGTCTCAGAGGAACTGATTTCTTCCCCTGCGGACTTCAGACACTATTCAGTTTCATACAGTCATCCTTTCTTATTAACTGCAGGCCTCTCTCTTACAACACTGTCACCACTTCCTGTTTCAGCCTGGATTTAAACATGTCTCCTTATATAGAGATCTGTATGGAAAGATGGATGTGTCAATTCCAAAAGTTTGTGATGTAGTCGGATTACTATTATGAAGGATCCAGGCAAAAAGTACTGCCTGTGTGTACGTCAGTACTTGTGGTAATATATCCCAATATAGTAAGAGGTTCCTTCCCTGTTTTTCCTATTTGGATCATTTTAAATTGGAATAAGTGGTACCTGGAATTCAGCTTCTGTGTCTACATTATGTAGAATACTAACCTGAAGTTGTGCGGTTCAGGGTTCAGTGCCTTCTTCTGGATGTCCTTGTATGTAGGTGACTTGAGGTAACGGAAGAACGTGTCCTGTGCCAATCAAAAACATGAGCATGCTAGCAACCTCCACGTGTTGGTATGAACAGATCATTTTTGACCCTCACACCAATCATGAATCTGGACACACCTTTTTCATGAGCAGGAAGACGTGCGTCTGTGCTGCTTCCAGCACATAGCGGTGAGGATGTTCCAGACCTTTCACTGTCAGACCCATTGTCCTGCCATCAATGTTGATCCAGCGGGGGGCGCCAGGGGCCAGGAAGGTCCTGCATACACACACATTCTACATTAATCTCCTCCATGGCTGAAAGTTATAGGAGTGAAGATTTAGAAAACCTGAAATCAATTTAAAATGACCCCGTCTTCCTCCCCTCACCGCAGCAGATGGCCCCGCCCCTCCCTGAGCCTGGTTCTGCCGGAGGTTTCTTCCTGTTCAAAGGGAGTTTTTCCTTCCCACTGTCGTCAAAGTGCTTGTTCATAGGGGTCATATGATTGTTGGGTTTTCTCTGTATGTATTATTGGACGACCTACTGTACAACATAAAGCACCTTGAGGTGACTGTTGTTGTGATTTGGCGCTGTCTAAGTGAATTGAATCAAAAGCTATTGTAAAGTGTGAAACTGAATCTCATGTGAAACAAAGATGTATTGTGTAACCAGGATGGCTGGACGGGTCTCAAGAAAACACAAAATGTGGAATTTAAATGTAAAAATGTGGAA